GAGAAAACAATACTGGATTATCGGCGGCATAAGAGCTGTCAAAAAACGACTCCATGACTGCGTGAAATGTCGAAGACATAATTCATTGAAACAGCAACAGCTGATGGGTGACCTGCCTGCAGCACGATGCAACCCCACGCGACCATTTTATCATACCGGTGTAGATTACACTGGGTACATCGATGTAAAAACAAACAAAGGCCGAGGAATAAAAACTACCAAAGGTTACGTGGCTGTTTTCGTCTGTATGGTGACGAAGGCAATACATCTAGAACTAGTGTCGGATCTCAGCTCGTCATCATTTCTATCTGCTTTACGAAGACTAGCGGCCCGCCGAGGAGCTCCGTGTCACATATACAGTGATAATGGTACCAACTTCGTCGGCGCTAACAACATCCTAAAACAAGAATATTTCAGCCTGAGAAAACTACTTGATCCACTATTCTTTACCACAATCACAGAAATGCAGATAGAATGGCATTTCAATGCTCCATCGTGGCCGAGCGCAGGAGGACTCTGGGAAGCAGCAGTGAAAAGCCTAAAGTACCACCTTCGTAGAGTCATAGGTGAACAAAAACTAACTTTTGAAGAGCTTTCCACACTACTGTCCCAACTTGAAGCCTGCCTTAACAGCCGCCCACTGCTACCACTCACCGAAGACCCTGACGATCTCGACTACTTGACACCGGCACATTTTCTCGCGAGTGGTCCCACTTTAACAATAATTGAAACTGAAACTGATCAGCGAACAAGGTGGCAACTTGTACAAAAAATATACAAAGATATCTGGAAACGGTGGCAATCAGAGTATTTATCTCAGTTGTCACCACGGAGTAAGTGGCGGCAAGCAAAAGACAACATGAACATCGACGATGTAGTAATCGTTCACGACGCGAATTTACCACCTGGACAATGGGCGCTCGGGAGAGTCGTCGACTTACACCCGGGCAAAGACGGGTATGTCCGAGTAGTCACCATCCGAACCAAAAATGGCACCATGAAACGCCCCATCACTAAATTATCGAAACTATCCGCGTCGAAACTGGAAAATAAAGAAAAACAAGAAGTCCACTTTAATTTAAGAAAACAAAATTCTACAACTGAACAAAAACAACAAAACGAAAAACCAACCAGTAAGAAAACAAAGAAATTATCATGCCATTTTGTATGGACTATCATGTCTATTTTATCAATTCTAATATCACCAGCTCAATGTGAATACAGCCTAACAAATCTCAATTATAACCAAAGTCTGTATTTCGATAAGATAACGGACATGCACCTAGTGCGCGACGATTGGAAACTAATCGTATTCTATGACATGGATCCTTATTGGCACGGAATACAAACCTTCAAGCATTACATAACTAACTTAGAAAATATATGTGCCACTTCAAAGCAACGAAACCAATGTGACGTCATCCTGTTACAATTACGTCACGGCCTCACCGAGTTAAACTATTACAGCGACATGCTTCTTATTCAGCAAGCCCAACGCTCAAGACAAAGAAGGGGACTTATCGATGGAATCGGATACGCAGCAAACAAATTGTTCGGACTACTAGACCAACAATTCGCCGAAAAATACGAGAATGACATAAAACTGATAAAAGATAATGAAAAACATCTTGTACAACTTTGGAAAAACCAAACTTCAATAGTAGAAGCCGAAAACAATTTATTAAAAAGAGTAGAACTGTCTATAGAGCGACAGCATAAAATGTATAATCAACACATTATTGAACTCGATAAGGCAGTGAACACAATAGCCACAGAAATGAAAGACATAGAAAAAATAAGTGACTTCACATTGACGTCTATTATAGCTAATAATATTTTGGAAAACTTAAAAGGACTTCAGGAAACATTACTGGATACGATCACAGAAATTCATTATGGAAAATTCGACATTCATCTATTGAGTCCCAAGCAACTAGCCGAAGAACTGAACTTTATTTCGGGACATCTTTCAAGTGACCTCACCCTCCCAATTGACGATATACAAGCCGATTTGAGATCACTCTATCATTTACTGAGTGTTAAAGCAAGAATTACATTGAATTATTTTATATTTGAAATTACTATACCTCTCGTGACTCGTGATAATTACGATATTTACAATTTGATCGCTATTCCTCAAGAAAAACAAACATTTATGGCAAAAATTAAACCGCTCTCTGATTATGTTGCCATAAACTTAAAGAAAGATGCTTACATACCAATTACAGAATCTGACTTACGATTATGTACGCCTTATAACTACAAAACTCTTATGTGCCCCTTACAACATCCAATTTATCACCTTAAGTCAGACGAAAATCTCTGCGTCAAGATAAAATATACAGATCAATGCGAAACAAAACGTTTAATGTGTATGGACATGTGGAAACAGCTTAATAAAATAAATACATATTTATTTTTCTGTTGCGGACAACGAACAATAAGAATCATATGCGAGGATCAAGTTGCATCTGAGCGCATCAGCAAGGCCGGCGTTATCGCACTCGGGGAAGGCTGCGTCATCAAGGGCGAAACCTTCACAATATATTCGCATACTCAACAAACTAATAGCCTGACAGTACAATCACCTGTTCTCAAGGTCGACATACATCCGATTAATAACATCTTTAACACAAGTATACCTTTGATTGAACTTAAAGGTATCAATGGATCAGAGTATGGAACGTATGGACAAGAATTGGAAGTAATAGACACACGTATCCAACAAATGAAGAAGGACGAGAACGATGAAGTCCTGAACTCCCTCACTACACATGACGTGCACCAGTACGTTGTGTTATACGTCCTGGCTGGGGGAATCCTCCTGGCAGTGGCTACCTACTTGTGGCGGCGCGGACGTAGGCGCTGTTCTGCAACAATTTCATCTACAGGACAAGATGAACCATCCACAGAGCCTCCAATTCCTCTCACTCAACGTCCACATGTGTCTAAAAGACAGATTAGTACCATCCGTACTCTCGATGAAACTATGAGTCAAGAATCGAACCTGTACGCTCGTGTGAATAAAGCGACGTCACCGGTTGTTATTAACAAACTATTCAGTGACAGTGATTAGTGCTGTGCATTGTGTAAAATTAATTTTATAAGATATAGACAATACTTATTATTTGTTCAAATAATAGCTTATCATTTTTATTGCTTTATAATTATAATTGTATAATGTTTTATCTCGCCCTCGGGAGCATGTACGGTTATGCAACCGCACAATATAAGTGGCTCGAGTCAAAGTACGTATTTATGCGGATCAGCATTTTCCGCTATAATGTAATTTAATTGTTATTAGAGTTAGTTAAGCGTAAGCCACCAACTAACAAACATTTATAACAACTTTTTACTATTTTAAACATTTGTGAAATAAACTATAAAAACAGTGACGTCGTTTACCTCGAACAACAAACTTTCCATAGATGTAGGACAAAACCCTACATCAGTTTTATCATTACCATGAAACCCGTTGAAACATTGTTTTTATTTACGATAATCTTAATCATGGTAGTTTAAAATTTTGTTTATATACTATATTCTTTTTCAAAGTCATACACCAATGGATTATCCATAAATTACGTTATTTCATTATTAATAGCCCACAATCATACAATAATAATAATAATGTGCTCACTAAAAGAGAATTGCCTCGATGTTTGAGAATCAAGAGAAAAACGACCCTTTCAACTCAAACACTTTATTTTTGAACCTAATATTTGCAGAGTACAATATAAATGGCATCTTCTTGTGATATTCAAGCAAAACAGGAAGTTTTTATTATGTTAAAACTATAGACTTAAAATCATATTCAATGTGTTGCCAGCAACATACGTTACATTTTAAAAGATGTGAGAGAGTAAAATTTAGTACAAAAAATATCAGTGAATATCAAAATCGTTCATTTCTCAACTAAACCTAATTTACATATTGCATGTAAATATTGCAATATGTAAATTAGGTTTAGTTTTCTTAGTAATATTTCATATTCCAAACTATCAAGATCACCTTTCAGTTTTCGAAAAAAAAACATTGCATTCTAAACATTACATATAATGTATTCATCGACAGACTCGTCTTAATATTGAGACCTCGTGTGCGTTTTATGGAAACTGGCCGGACCTTTTAACATATGTTTCTGTCGCGAAGTACAGCACAGTGCTGAGCAATGGCAGCAAGCAGCCCTGTTTTTCAGTCCCAAAGCTCCCATACCTAAGGCAGGTCTAACTAGTTCCGCGCGGACTATAGCTTATATATAAATAGCATGACTAAGTACAACCGATATTGGAATATATTAGATATTTTAAATTTTCCTTTATATACACAAATCATGTTCAATAGTGTGGTTTGCTTAGTTTTTATTACATTTTCATATTAACTGTGCGAAGGCAGTTATTTAATTATATTTAGACAAAAGTATTTACACATAAAGTATTTTAAGAATTGCATCTGATAATTTTCCACTTCTTTAGGTAAAGTTTTTAAGATAAAATTATAATTATTAATGTATAGTAATGTAAAAAAATATGTAATATATGGGTAATCAATTTAAAACTGGCTCTTGAATAGATTATACAAAAATAAAATCGAAACGAAACGAATAAGGAAAATGCAGTAAAATATAATAAGCACCAAAAGTGCTTATTGTTCAAGACTGAAGATTGAAAAATAATGAAACATGAAAGTACTGTGACAACTATGTTTATTTCCCAAAGCATTATTATGTAATATTCAAATTTATTACAAGTTTTAATAAACGTTCTTTACGAAATCATTGTTTTCGTTACCTGTCGACACATTAGAATCTAATAACATTCTTATTTCATTTTTATTTTACATTCGAGTCACTTGCAAATAAAAAAAGTTGTTTAATCGTCTGCGACTCGTCTTCGAAATCAACGTGCCGATTGTTGAGTTTAAACTTGAATTCTGTACTTAATTAGTTCAATTAATATCTAGTGTTATAATTAGGTGCGAAGCGTGTTGCAGGGGAGGAGTTAGTAATAGTTCGGGTATTGGGGCCAAGGATGCGCATGATGTTGGTAAGGTCCGGGCGGTTGCTGATATCCCCAAGGCGGTTGGTAGGGCTGCGCGTATGATTGCTCGTAAGACTGCGCAGTCGCCGTCGGCGTTTGATAATACGAACTGGTCGCCGTCGTGGCCGCGGCGCTTGAACTCGTGCAGTCTTTCTTTTTCGTCGCGTCACTGGATGAACTGAGAATATATCGCAAACATTTTACACAAAGCACCATTTGAGTTAATGAAAGGATAAATTTTAAACTTTACTGTCAATATTGTAAGGTTTAAAATCGATTGGCGAAAGATGAATATTTAGAAAAAGTGTGTTTCTAATTAAAATATATGAATGCCAGTTTTAACCAGTTTAGCAGGATCAATAATAGCAGAAAAACTCTTGTTTTCCTATGTAAATTATTCCTTATGTAACCCGTGTATAATGTAGCTTGGCGTAGGCGAAAGAATTTTTAAAATCGGTTCAGTAGTGTCAAAGCCTAATGAAACACAAAGAAGAAGACGTAAGAAAACAAACGGTCACATCTTTCCTCTTGTTTAATATTAGTTAGTGATATATAGATATACTACTTGTACGAATTAATATGACGCCTCTTGTTAATTCGTACAAGTTGTATGTATGTATGTGGAGTACACACTGCTGCACGTCAGTTTACTTCCATAAGACAAATTTCGGCAGTTGATTTTAAACTGTACCTCAAAACAACAAGGTATAATTATAAAATGAATAAGAGAGCAAAAGGACGACCACAGAAAATAATAAATAAACTTTTTTTATTATTAATGGCTCATGAATAAATTCATTTCTACAAGTAAAATAAAATAAATGAACAATGGCGATGGACTATTTGATGCATGATATGAAAGTGAAGGGAGCAAATGATGAGGTGACAGTTGAAAGAGATATAGGACACACTGCGCTGACCCCACATAGACCAGGAACAATGCAGGAAGATGATGACGTGCCATTGTTAGCTTTGACCCTTTTCTAAAAGGTAACTTAGATACATCATTATGTATTTGTTATCTTGTTTGTTTTTTTTGTAATTCTAAACCTTATCAATGTAATAGGCTTGTGCCCTACAATTGAAAATACAGATTTCTGTCATATGTTTGGAAAATATGAAATTTTAAGTTCTACATTTTTAACAAGATAAATGACACTAATTTGGAAAATATTACGATTTGAAAACTTGAAAAAAAAAAGGGAAAATATACTACAAAAAATTGCTTAAAATAAATATGATTAGTAAGATAAAAAACATTATAACAGCTATAAGCATAAACGCACAAATAACAAACATATTACAAAAGATTGCCTAGCAGCCCAAAGATTTTTCACTTAACGCCTTGAATTTGTAGGGAGCATTTTCGGTCGACTAGCAGCAATTTCACAAACAACACCATATCTCCGAAACTATTAAACGTACGCATTACTACTTCTACTTTATTTCTCAGATAGTCCCGCTTTCGAACCCATGATCTTAGGCGATCGTTCGACTGCGAAAGGTCATAGGTTCAAGTCCCATTTCAAACGAATATTTTTCAATATAGCATTGTGAATGCAAAATTTATAAAATATAGCAATGGACTATTTATTTATAAAATAAAACAAAGTTGTCAACTAGCCTTTTGTGTGTGAAATGAAATGAAAGCACTTTTGAATCGTCCAAAAAAATTTTCCCCTACCACTTGTTCAGGAAGTCTTTCAGCGAAACAAACTTACCAGCTCTTTATCATAAGTAATGACATTTACAAAATCATGTCATTACCAAAATAATATGTATTATCACAATAATAAACACAACTTTCAAAGTCTGTAGGTCATAGTTTGTACATATAATTAGTCGTTATAGAATAAAGCGAAGGCTATTAATTCCATGCATCGCGGTCCTTATCAAGTTTATAATAGCCTTTGCTCATAAGTATGTTCTTTATATGAATTTTAAACTTATTTATGGGTAGGTCAATTATTGTAGAGGATAAAACAATCGTTGTATATATACCTGGTGGGCGGCGGCGGGTCGTGCTTATCCTTGCGCGCGCGCTTGCGCAGGTGTTTGGCGAGTGCGCGCGCGTGCGCGTGCGCCCGTCGCGCGTGCGCCGCCCCCCCCACCTCCTCGGCGAGCTCGCGCCGCCGCCACGCCATCGCCGCGCTCACCTCCACCTCCGCGCCCTCCTGACGCTCGTACGACCCGACCAAATCTGTCCACACGCGTACAACAGTCACGTCTGATACGTCAGTTATTGTCTATCACGTAGCATGGGTACGGTGACGTTTGGAATTTGAAGTTTTCAGTGATGTGGTAATAAAAAATAGTATAGACAAAAACTTGAAATTATAGAGTTCATTTCTAATATATTCGATTTTGAGGTCAATGTATATTTATTCATCGACAGTATGAAGCTGACTCAGCTAAATACAAAATTTTATTATAGTGATGTTTATTTATATGCATATATTTTAAAAAAATTGTGAAAACATTATGGTTTCAATCCATATAATAAAAACATTCAAATTTTCGTTAAAATAATAGATGTTTGAATCTTTAGAGGTTTGATTTCAGTGATTAATAGCCAGATGCACAAACGTCCATTAAAATTGTCATTAGTTTAACCATTATCCATACAAATCTGACATTCATTAGAGTTTAAATGCATCATTAAACCATAATAGACGTTTGTGCAACTGACCGATAGCCAATCGAAAGATGATTAACCGCCACTATTGCAAACTGCACAATCCACCGAACACCATAGAACTCTACGAAGGAATTTTATAGTTGGTTAAATACTGAAAGTATTCCCTGTTCATTTACTAACCTTCCAATTCTTCATAAGCGACACCAGGGGTATGAAGTGCGAGATCCAGCCTCTGCATGTGTAGTCTATAGTTGAGCGGGTCCTTGGTGACGGCGTCGTCGAGCACTTTCCTCGCCGCGGTCGGATCGCTCCGCACGTGGAACAGGAACCGAGCGTATTTTATAGCGAGAGCGGACGCGACCGCCTTATTCTTGGCAGAGGCAATGTAACCTTCGTACAGCTGTACACATTTCTCGTAATCTCCCCGTCGACGCTCCAGATTTACACGTCTAGAAACAATATGATATTTATTTATTTATCTTGGAAAACCAACAGTTAATCAAACAAGATAGATTATGGCATAACAAGCAATAAGCCAATTATAGGTTTCCACATATACGAATAGTTTGTGTCTTATAACCACAGGTCGGAATTAGGTAGAGTTATTTATGTACTTGCATCGAAATGTTGATATTAATGTGGACCTTCCCGGGATTTCTTTATTTCTTTTTTCTTTCTTTCATTGATGTAAGTTTGGCAACGTCGTGCGTGCAGTAGTTTAAATTGTGAAAAAGTAAATAACTTTTTATTTAAAATATCACGGGATTTTTTATGCTTTTTAAAATTAATCTCGGGATTTGAGGCATATCCACTTTATTCTTTCGCTGTATGAAATCAGTGTAAGTACATGAATAACTCTACCTAATTCCGACCACTGCTTATAACTCAGCAGCAAATCTTCTTATAACAATATTAAAGTATTGATAATGTTATTAAATTCAAATCCTATATATTTAAATATGTAATGGACAAAAATATTATACAATTAATGAATTCTTGCAAGATAAATCTCATTCTTAATTATTGTATGAATCCTTTGATTATAATATGAACCCATTTTATCTTATATGACTATGATTTGACATTCACTATTTTTTATGTAATTTAATTTATTGACTTTTTTTTCATATAACATCAGACAATTTATTATATATTTACTTTAATATATGCAGATCGTCTGAACGATAAAATATCGTGCTCTAAAATTGTAAAACTACCCCCTGTAACCATATTAGCAAATAAAGATTATAATTCATGTCACCGCTGTTGGGGCATTGACCTTGCTCATTATGAGGTTTTTCTATCTAAAGGATATAAATAAAACCGGCAAGGCTAATCAAAGAAGTTTTTTATTAAGTTACAAAACTTGTATAAAAGTTAAATAACTTTAGCATGAAAGTCTTTTCTGTGTAGCATTCAACGAATTCTTAGCTAAAGCAAGTATAAACACATTAGATTGTATAAGAAGGGTATTAACGCGATAGATTTCGATAGTAAGGAAGTGGATTCCACTTCAGAAGCATCGCAGAAACAGTTAGCTCGTGACCACGGTCGGTGTAACCGGTGGTTGGTCGAAACGTCGGGAAATATAGGTAGGTGAAAAACCTAATATAATGCAACTCGAAAGTTTAAAAATTATAATTACAGTTTGACTTCATTAATATCAAATGTGGTTAAACTATCATACAAACGAAATCGCATTGTTTTATTATAGATATTGGTATCATCAGCCCATTTACATCCCCACTGCAGGGGCTCAGGCCTTCCTTGTGGATAGTTAAGATGGGCCATGACATGACGCTGGTACAGTGCAGATTGGAGGGTATTATACGACAGATCAACGGATTAACGCGTCTTCCGAAGTACGAAATAGCTCGAGATACAAATATTTTGGTCACCCATCACGTGATCAGACCTCTGCGGAAGATGCTTAACAACAACAATCGCGGGCCGAGGCGCTTATCCACTAACGCCACCGAGCTATTAGCTGTATAATTGTGATATAGGGTACCTGTACTGTATCTGCATCAGTGTCGGGCATGTCTTCTCGATGCGGTCGAGTATCTCGGCCGCCTTGGCCTGGTTGCCCTGGGCCTCCTCGAACTGTGCCCAGTGTAGATGCAGCTCGGGTTTGTCCAAATGATGTACAGTACACGCACGTTCTAACACCTCTCGCTCCACTGCTATTAGCTCCGGTTCCGTCTCAGCACGTTCTTCGAGGAATTTTATTAACTGCATGGTGTAAGAAAAATATAACTAGTATGAAAACTGATGCCAAAACCGCCCAAATTAATTTTATTAATAGACACGTCATTCCCGTATATTATTGAGATAAAAAACACCGTAAACTTTATTGTGGTAGCGTAACATTATAATACAACCACAAAGGGTGCAAAAAAATCTTAAACAGCTATCTCCCTATCAGAATCTTCAGCATACCTCTTGTTAGAATGAGGTAAACATACTAGCATTGCCCGATCTCCCCTAGTCATAAAATACGATGCACTAAAAAATGGCCGCGTTCAATGACATATAGTACAATACGCATGAAATAATATCTTTTTTGCTTTTCTCAATGTGTAATTATTTAAACACGCAGAAAGTCAAGACGCATTTTTTCAACTTTTCACAGACATTGACGAGTGAAAATGACATTAGCCACAATGCTGAAACGTGACTAAAATGAAACTTAGGCAATTGCCTTGCATTTTTGTGCAATCTAAGCTTTTTAATAAATTTTTGTTTAATAGCCTTATTTTAAACCTGGTGTTCCCATTCCAATGGATCGACTGTCGATCGATGCCATAGATTCGATGATACAGCACGGCCATCGAACAGAAAAAAAATCGTACTATGGACACGGCATTACATATCTTTTTTACTATAACGCTCACACATATGTATCTAGTCAATTTTATCATAGCAAAGTGGGCCTAAAATGTTTACGTAATCTATCAGTAAGCACATGGCAAAATTTCCGTGTATAACGGAACAAGTCCATATAAAAAAAGGTCAACATACGAAATTCTCTGTTCGGCAACCGTGTTATAGAATGGATTAGTTAATGTCTATCAACGGTTTTTACGACCCAAATTGCTCTTTCACCGATATATGGCGTGATAGGATTAGTGAACGTAGATCATTTCTACTACTGCAATCGTTCTTCATCAATGGAGGTCTTCGATTGATTGTCGACATTGATCGGCAGTTCCTAATACACTAATTGATTTATCGTCAACAGAGATCATCGAACGATGGTACAATGAGTTAGTCGACGTCAATATTCAGTTAAAGCGGTATACCTCTAATTATTACTAATAGAAAATGCTATCATAGTCTTCTATGAGAGTCTTATAACAAAAATTACAGTGTTTAATCAAACTGACCCTCATCCAGAACTCTTCGTAGAGCGCGCACGCTATAAGGCACCTCTCGTGTAGTACTAAAGCCCGTTTCAGTGAGCCGTGCTGCTTCTCCCACTCCAAGTATGATTTCCAGTTCTTCAGCTGGCATCGTTCCAGGGGCTTCACGTGGAAATACGGCCGCTTTATCTGAGTACATACAATAGACACCATGAAGATAATTCGCGAATATTATCTGTGCAACAGAGGCACTGTCAATAGGGAATATGCGTCTGATTCAAAAAAAAGGTTAAATATATTTTATTACAATCTAAATATTTATTTACAAGTCTATCTAAATATTTTTCAATATTAGTGATTACGCCGTTTTGGTGTTTTTAATGAAAAATTGTTCTGATAGTTTATAAGTTTACTTTTCTTATTAGAATTTGAATATAAGTAATATACAATAATATTTAAAGATGTGGTTGCGTGCACAGTTGTAAGCGTAATGCCCTCGCCGCGCCCGGTGGTTTTTTTTCTAGTTGTGGGGGTAGTACCGCTTGTCAAAATAGAAAACGCCTGCGGTTCTAAACAATTAGTTTGTTTCGTCTTGAAAATAATTATTAATTATTAAAATAATTATTAAAATAATTATTAAAATAATTATTTCAAAATATTTAAACGCCATGCTACTTGTCAGAGCGGATGTGACGAAAATGTACACGTATAGGGATGTCGTTGTTACAAAAGTTAACATCGATGCAATAACATCAATGTATTATGTCGCAAAATAAACAACTGATTACAATTTAAATGATGTTTTAGGCTTTTATTTTTATTTCACCAATTTGGTAAATTATATGATTTATTATAAAAGTCTATTATACTTAAAGAATCGATTAGTTAATTCATTTGGGTAATTGAATAATTATCACTCACTTAAAACCCATATTGATTTAAAATATCATGTCTCTAGTCGTGTACTTTGACGTCACGACGAGCGCGCCAAAAATTCCGGTGTTTAAACTGCTCGTAGCTATTACTTATTTGCATCAATTATTTATGTTACAAAATTTTAGTTCTTCGGTGCCGGGTATTTTATTACAGTTATATATCGATGTAAATTATCATATAAAAACATTTTCCAAAAATGTGCATATTCCCTATTGTCTACCTCCGTTGCATCATGAATTATAAAAAAATGGATTTCTTTGAAGTCATATTAGTGTTTCTAAAATAGACGAAATTTCGTTTTCGGATAAACAGAGTAGAGCTTCTGTAGTAAACTTACTCCCTCTTCAAAAGTCCACCGTGCGGTGACTTCTTCGCCAGTCGCCTTGTGAATCTTTCTCCGTGCTGCGATTATGCGCTCTTTTATAGCTTGGGCTTCTTCTTCAGACGCCTGAATGAACATAATGTTTATAAACAATATATACTTATAACAATAACTGAAACAGATCGAGTGATTGATTAATTGACACGGAAAATAGGCGTAATACGCTTCGCTGAAATGGGAAAATTATTCTCATTTTAATTAGCATTCATGAGGCGTCAAATGCTCATTATAGCGTGCGCGGCTAAATAAACATGCCATTAAAAGACTGGAATAGGATACCGAGCGTTAATATAACGTTTAATACCACGAGAGCGAGTGAGTCTTTAAATATTACATGGAAACACATACAGTAACCAGACTTTCATAATTGGTTATATGACACAGATATTCAATATTATTCAAACCGATATTCGAACTGTTAGTCACGGCGGCCTTAGTGTTATTAGTTCCTGGCTGTCTATGTCACATGAGAAGGAATGTCCATAGATAGGTAGATCGTGCTTTATCTCGAGATGTCAAGGCTGTCGTTATCAAAATGGCATTTTTTACTTTCATTTTTTTTTGCCTGTGCGTTAATCCATCAGTCAATATAGAATACACATTAATTTCACTTATTTTGATGCTTACCAATACCTATAACCGTATTTAATCGTAATAAGAATTGGATATAATATGTATACAGCGTCAAAAGATTGTAGGTATTTTGGTATCATAAGATCTATCAAGACAGTTTGAATCTCTTGTAACTCCGTGATCTTTGCTGACCCAGGGCGCGGTATAGCGATGTTGGTCAGACTCTAGTGAAGGTATTGCAATACAGTACGGTGGGTGGGTGGTACTGACCACGTGGTCGCCGGGCTCGTCCTCGCCGGGCGGCAGGTCCAGCTGCGGCTGCGCACCGGCCGCGTCGCGCACCTCCCCGCGCAGACGCACCAGCTCAGTCTGACCCACTACGCCGGTCACCGGCTCAGACATCACGTGCTCTTGGAAACTGGACAACATCACATATCTCATCGTTAAACTATGAATGAATCAATTCCTGTACGCGTAACATGACAAACTCGAGAATCGAGAAACAGGTCGAGTGTGATTTGTATGCTCATACAATATCTCATACAAGATAAGAACAAGATTGCATATCCTATTCAGTAATTATATTTTTATTTTTTATTTTTATTTATTCGGTACACAAACAGAAGTACAATTACATCAATAAATAAGTCATCACGTAACAATGCAGCATGTCAAGTTGCACTTCCAATGACATGTGTACACAACAACATGAGACAAAATCAAGGCAAACATAATTTTGAGTGGGTTCGAATTTCATGCATAATTAAAAAATAAATAAATAAAATTATTAGCTTTCATAATTAAGTGAATATATAAAAAAAAATCTCTAATCAATAAATAATAATAATAACTCCAAAATGTTAATACAAAAAAAAATCAATAAATTGGACAATAATTAATAAATAATAATAAACGAGAAACAATTTCCTTGTATTTTAATTATAACCAAAAGGTTTTGCTTTTTTTACTTTGGTTTAAATGGGATAAACGACCTGGGGCGCAGAATCTCGAAAGTTAGCAACTGAGGAGAATGGGCCTTAATCAACCAAGTTGGAACCAACGGCTTAACTTGTATCTGAAGCAACATTGTGAAAGTTGCTTCAGCATATCCCATTATAGCAAGCTGAACTTATCACTGGGCCCATCTAGCATCTCTGAGTTGCCCTATAATATTTATATTTTATGACTTTAGAAAAGTAAATAAAAGGAACAATAGCATAGGCAGATGTAGAGCCCCAGTGAAGGATGAAGATTTTCATATCGCAAGGGCTATTCCAGCTATTTTACATTAGATGTGGGCAATGTGAATCGTAAGTTAATCTAAGTTTTATGATGTCGTCTAATAATTATCATCAGTAAGAGTCAACCAGTGTGTTGCTATTAAGGCTCACAGCATACAATCTGTGCTGCCGAAACAGAAACTTTAACGTCAGAGTTTTTACTGATTTGCTTGTGCCTCAATACATATTATGAAGTTCACACAAATGAAATACGCAAGAATGAGTAAAATATTGCAATGATTTCATCTTGATTATGGTAGGATAGACATATTAGACTTAAAACTCACAAGAAAATGTGCCACGCGGTAACTAGGAGTGAGGAAAATATAAAAAAACCTATCGATATTATTCATACAACAAAATTACACATAAAAACATATATGTTTCCAAACAATTAGTTAGTTTCAATAAAAAATTAAATATGTCACGTTACGGTTGGTGCAAAACTATGTGTATTCACTCACTTGTCAAAATGTGATGTGTATCCAAGAGTTGGTGTTGCCAATAAACGATCATAAATATTAGTTACATTAAGGGCCGATCCGTTTTCTGCTTCCCATTTAATGTAAGATTCCCACAATCGATCCGATCTAAATTCCAATCCACATGCATCTGCAATTAACAACAACAATATATAATATACAAAACTATAACATCACTAAAACTATTAAATTAGAATGTTATCATCGTAATACATACCGATAGCCCTTTCATATTGTGATCTGATATAGGCATGATCTTCAGTTCTAGTGGATCTTATATGATTCAGATAATGTATCCACAAGTCTACTGATAGAGGGATAGCTTTGAGTCCCCTTTCCAAAACCTGAAATCCAACACGAGCGTCAAACTGATGCCACGGGCTCTCAAGCATTGCCGTGTGCACGACAATACTATGAAGCAAGGGAATAATCAATAGCATTGTATTGTTTCATGTTCATTCAATAGAAAAAAGCGAGACGTTGGCATGAAAGATCTTATCAAGCGTCGAGCGCTAGACAACGTCTCACTTATATCTATTTAATATAAAATGTTTGTCTTGGCATATTACACCTGTTCGCAAACGGCGCTGCAGTCGCTGACGCCGGCCCCGAAGTCTTCCGTTCCTAACGCCAATCAATGGCTAAACACTGGCTGCACTCCATGCTACCATGGATTAGTTTACATAATTTCCTTAAGTATGTCCACTATTTAATATGCACGTACTTAAATAATATACATGATAAAGAATTACAAATACATCACGCGTGTACAAAGTATCGTAAATATATGCATTTGATTATAAAATATACAGCACAAACAATAAAACCACTAAAAACAAATCTATGTGTCGGTAATACAACTCTCCGGTGCGTACGGACGACTTTGCCTTACGAACATCGTGGATCTCGACGCACTGCTGGGAAAAAAAAGTAATTGCAAAATACCAGTTATGACTAAAACAATTCAAATCCAAGTGAGTAAGACACATTGATATAAAAAGTCATCAATCAGTGTATTCATTATAAGCATTACCAAACTCACCATAAATAACTTAAATAAAAATTTAAAAAGTATTCATGACAACTGAACACTTACCTCGAGGCACTTCTTTTTACTTCCTTTGCGTTTCTCGTAATCGGCGTATTTACGCCAATAGCCGTAGCAGTACGGGTAATGCGACAAGAAAGCGTCGTACGCTTCGCGAGCCGCCTCCACGTCGCTCTGTGAATTACACAAATTTCAGATTCTGACAGACAACAAAGTGATAGATAACGCTGGATATGTATCATCAGTTGGCCCTTGCCAATCCACACCAATATTCGGTTCTCATTGCTTCATAAAGCAATAAGATTAGCAAATTATGTTCATCATTTTTGTTATTCAATAGACTGTGAGCAACTTTTGAAGGCCACACTAAAGTTGAGCGACGAGATTAAAAAAAAAACACGACCGTCAACCTATAATAACATTATAAAGAGTTAAATTTTCCTACTTTGATTGATTGTAGGTAATCTTCAGGAATACAGATCAGAACATGAAAATTGTTTCATCTACGAGCTACATCATATGCCTGTGCTATAAGGCTATAATTTGCACAAGTCGCGGGAAAAAAACTAGTAATAAATATAGATAAGTACAGAAGACGGCGTATTTTAAACTCGTGTGGTTTCTCATTTATATATACAGCTTATTTGGATGTTATTCTTTTGTGTACACACCCTGTTAAATTTTGTAAGAAATATGATATCCCTATTACACTGTTTCTATGAGTATGTTGGACACAGTTGAACATCAATAATAAGGGTTCTAACCTCTTGATCCACATACTGCAACAGATAAGTCCATCCAGTGAAATCAGTGGGATCATCGTTGACAACTTTCCAGTATTTGTCCAATTCAGGTAGTACTTTTTTCTTTGGTTTCTCGTCAATCGATGATCTTTTCTCAACTGGCACTGGCTTACTCTCACCGTTCTGCTCCAGGTAAAAAAAAATAAAACCAAAATTACAAAATATCTTTTTTTATGATAGTTACACACACAAATAAATTAAAATATATCCTTAGACAAACTCTTGAAAATATAAAACTATGTATCTTACCTTTGCTACTGCTTGCTTTTTGCTAGATGATTCATTTTCTGATGTAGGTGATCCTGGGTCATAACCATCTCTCTCTTCATCAGGTTTGCGTTTCCGCGATTCTTTAGACTCCTTTTTTGATGTCGGCAATTCATCTTCCGATACAACCTAAAAACTCTTCATGATTAAACACAATCTATATATATGGAACCTAAATTCAGAAGTGGGATAGCAAAAGCATCCATACCCATTCATTGGGCTCGCCATTTAGTACCGAACAAAACACCAATTTTTTAGTCTTTGCGCGATTAGTTCACTTTCTCTTACGCGTCTTTTTGTTTGCTATAACCATGTCCGATAGATTGCGGACGCCCCATAACAGGTCGCGTCACGGCAATGTCGATAGGTCTCGCAGTAGGCCGCGTAGACGTGATTCTAATCGTGAGCCGCGTGGGCAGAGCCCTGGCTGTAGATCTTATAGGCGGAATAATGATCGTAGGTCGCGCAGTCGCACTCGAACGCCCTCAGCGTCACGTGATGGAGGTTTTATCATGCAGCAGACTTTAAATTCAATTTTAACAAAATTGAATGCACTTGAAAATAATAACATTTTGTCGAATAATACTCATAACCGTGAATGCGTGGTTCAAACAGGATCGGTGGTTACTCGTGCTCAGGATCTACCCGAAATGACAGCTGATAGGGCGGTTCTGATGAGACGCCGTTTTGATGATATTGAGGTTAGGGATTGTAACAACGAGTCAGTTCAGCCTAATAAGTCGAATACCTCTCGATTGAATACGTCAGTGATTTCGATGACCCCTCAAAATAGTCGTGATGTCTCATCTTTACGGCGTGATCGTAATTCTGAAATACCCGAATCTACTCGCTTACTAGCTGAGGCAATTCGATCATTAAATCCTTCCAGGTCACAAGATTATTTTGTATCAAACTTTGACCCCGCCATTCACGACGTCGAAGCATGGTGTGACGAGGTCGAGAGGGCCAAGCTTACAAATAACTGGCAAGATTCTGAATGTCTTTCTCGTGTGTCGAATTGCCTCAAGGGCGACGCGCGTACATGGTTGAACGAATGGGTGACTAGTGATCGTACGTGGACAAACTTCGTTCGAGAGTTCAAGCCACTGTGCCCACGAAAATTGGACTATGCTAATATTCTTTTCGAGACTATGAACACTAATTCCGATAAGTTTACATCGTACTCTGAGTACGCGCGACGCACCTTATTACGTTTGCGAATAGTGAAAGGTCTTAGTGCCGAGCTTATGGTGTTGATTGTTATTAGAGGTATTACGGATCCGCAAGTCCGAGCGACAGCAGCAAACGCGAACTTGACTACGGATGATATAGTTTCTTTTCTTTCTATTTATACTAAGCCCGTCCGCAGCAGACAGGACTTTAGACCAATACAAATTAAGACTCGTCCTTTGACTGACCCTGCTTATGGTAACATGAAATGTTTTGGCTGCGGGCGAACTGGGCATAAACATGTCAACTGTCCGAATAAGAATAAATTTAATTCTCAATCATTTAAACGCCCCGAAGCAGCTGCCGGTAGTCAAACGAATAGTGTCTTGTGTAGCTTCTGTAAGAAACCGGGTCATAACGAAGATACGTGCTTTACTAAAGACAGGCAATACTTAACTCAAACTTTAGTTAACACTGTATTTCAAGTTAACTCAATTGCAGGTGACAAATCCATTACAGTTAACACCCCTCTTGAAGAGTTCGTGTTAAAAGTAATAGGCGAGTTCTCAGAATTTTTTATTAGTGGTACTGCAACGACTACGGTTAATACGGGTAAGATGTCGATCAAGGTCACGGATGATGTTCCGGTTGCTTACCGTCCTTATAGACTTTCTCATGAAGAAAAGCTGAAAGTTAGACAGATCATCAAGGACCTTATGGCATTATCCGTGAGTCCAACTCTGAATACGCTAGTCCTATCATCCTCGTCAAAAGGAAGGACGGTAGTGACCGCATGTGCGTCGACTATCGTGCGCTGAATAGGTTGACTGTACGGGATCGTTATCCGTTACCACTGTATTGTGTGTATATCAAAAAAACGAGTGCCTAGAGCGCCCCATCAACCCATATCATCTTGGGAAAAACCAAGCTCACCGATTAATACTTTGCATTTGGATGCACTAGGACCCTTGCCAGAGTCCGGACGCTATAAGTTTGTTTTGTTAATAGTAGATTCGTTCACTAAATTCTGCCTACTTTACCCAATCGTTAAACAAGACGCGAGTGAATTGAAACGTACTTTTACTAATGCGACTTCTTTGTTTGGCGTCCCTAAGCTTATTATAACTGACCGTGGGCGAATGTTCGAGTCCTCCCAATTCACATCATTCATTTCCGAACTTGAATGTGACATCCATTACATAACTCCAGAAATGCATAATTCGAACGGGCAGGTCGAAAGGTATGTAAGGACTGTCCTAAACATGATTAGAATCGAGGCAAATTATAAAGGTGCCCCCTGGTCTGAACAACTGTGGAAACTTCAGCTAGCCCTTAACATGACGAAGCAGAAGACGACGCAAGCTTCCCCAATCAATCTTCTGGTAGGTATTGATGTTGCTACTCCGCTCATCCGATCTCTTATACGAGACGTAGCTGTAGACAACTCTCAAAACCGAGAGGCCTGGCGGGAAACTTGTAGGAACAAGGCAAGTGCGCTGCTTAAGAAAAACCAAGAGCAGCAAGATACTCGCGTCAATCAACAGCGACGTGCACCTCGCAAGTTTAATGTTGACGATTTGGTATTGGTTATCAAATGTTCACAGGCGACGGGCAAGCTGGATCCCGGCATGCGCGGGCCTTACCGGGTCGTGAAATGTCTACCAAGCGACAGGTACGAGCTGAAGCTGCTGAGTGGGTCCTATGGGAAGACCACGCAAGCTGCAGCTCAATACATGGTTCCCTGGCGTGGGGAGTGGTGCCCCGATTCCTGTGCTGCTTTCTTCGAGCGTAAGTGAAACGGCACTTGCTACCTAGTGCATGGTCATGACTTAACTTGCTATACTTTAAGTTCCAAGTAGATAGGTTAAAGTAAGATAGGTTAGATTAAGCGAGTTAAGTCATTATCAGTGTACTTTGGTGCTGGTTGGTGGACATGCGGACTCTATGCCTCTGTCCTACGTGCGGACATGCGGACTCTATGCCTCTGTCCTACGTGCGGACATGCGGACTCTATGCCTCTGTCCTTCGTGCAGACACGCGGACTCGATGCCTCTGTCTTACGTGCAGACACGCGGACTCGATGCCTCTGTTCTGTGTTGAGATACGCGGACTCAATGCCTCTGTCTCATTTATAGGTATGCGGACTCAATGCCTCTGCCTATTGCATAAGTGTATGGATTTGAAACCAAATCTAAAACTAGGGAAACAAAGAGAGCTCTCGAACTTATCTGTAATAGTAAATTGCTATAAAATGTTATGCGTGCAAGGGATGTATGAAAGATCATTATTACCTATTTAACTGTGTAAATAATACTCGTGTGGGTCATAAAGTCTATTAACAGAAAAACTGTAAGGTTGGAATCGCCACAGTAGCAAAGCTCCGACGACAACGAGCCCGTTGCTGGACCGACGTGGGCACCAGACTACAGGTCAACATTGCCAAGCTTACCGTGACTTGATTGGACTCCGGTCATCGAGGAGTCGAGGACAACTCCACGTCAGGAGAGGCCGAATTAGTACGCTCTCCCACTACAAGTTAGCTACTACCCCCAACTCCTATATAAGAAGCGCGCACGTTACCAACGGCTCATTAGCTGGCTGGCGCTCGGACTGTGAACATTGCTCTTGTCGTGACCTGTTTGTGTGGTATATAACTTAATGTGTTATTTATGGTGAAAATTCTGGTATGTTGATTTGTTTTTGTTAATTTCGTGATAAATTATTTTGAGGTAATTAAATTGGTGATTTTGTTTACATAAAATTAGAATTAAATTATTGTTACCGGTGATCGTTGTTTTCTTTTTAAGAACTTATACTTCTATTAGAGATGTAACGGATAGTTATTTGGCCGGATACCGGATATTCGAAAAGTTCCGAGGCCCGAGCACCGGATATTCGGCCTTTATTGCGTTACATGACCCGATCAGTTTAATTTGAATCTATAGCGTGTCAAGTATAAGCAGTGTTACAAACTCTAATCTAGCGGACCGTAGAAATCTTTTTTCTTTTTTCATAATTATGGAGTATTTTTAATTTGGAATACGGTAAAACGGTACGGTTTTGGGTCAGAGTAGAAAATAAACACGTTATTATTAATTAGAATCGGACAGTATAATTATTTTGGTATTTTTATACACATTTATTTTATATTTTTGAAACATTGTATCGATGCGAACAAAAACAATACAATTTATTCTGTGACTCTGTATGGCCTGTTGCGATATAAATTTTGCTTTAATCGATCTCGTAAGGAGTTAATTAAATTTTTTAGTTTATATGTCATTTACTTTGCTAAAAACTCTTTCGCATTCAACATTTGAGTGTGGCAGAAATAAAATTGCCTACATAAACTTGGGCAAATACATAAAATAAGAATTCCCTGAAGCTGGCCTGGTATCTGAAGCAAAGCGGAGTCGCCTCTTACCAACAAAAGCAGAAAGTTTTTTGTTCATTCACCACAATTTGCCACTTGTTAATTTTGAGTATTAAACTAATTAATAAACGTATGTAAAGTGGTATAATTTTTATTGTGTAAAATGATGAGATTTATGTTTATTTTATTATCCGGTAACCGGCCGGATATTGGAACCCTATCCGGTATTCGGACGGATAGTAAAAATAAAGCCGTATAGGCCGGATACCAACCGGATATCCGTTTCATCTCTTTACAATTCTTATACAAACCTCAGTATCAGCTGGTAATTCAGCTGGCTTTGGTCCTGGTAACTCATCATCAGATACATTCTCAGCATCTTTCACACTAGGTTTCTGTACTACTGGTAACTCATCTTCAGAAACCACCTCTGTCTCTTCTGCACCACCAGTCTTCAAAATATAAACATAAAAAAAATATTTTAATATCAGATCTCCTTGAATATTAGAAAAATATAAAGATGCTAAATTAAAAACAACTAAGCATAAAATATTCCATATCTACCTCCTCCATTTTCTTTTGAGTAGTGTATTCTTTCACATCCTTTGATGGTTCTGGAGCTTCAAGTCGTGTTTGAGATTGGGGGTTCAGTGTAGTTTCAGTAACATCCTCTTTTACAACCTAAAATATAAAAAATATAAAGAATTTAAATAAATAAAGTAAAATCTTGATCCTACAGTAAAATAAGACATATTTTTACTCACCCTTTTCTGTTTCTTTTCAGTTTCATGCTCAATGTTTTCAATTTTGTCATCTTCTATAACCTAGGAGAGAAATTGTTCATTTTAAATTATCACTAACTACTTTCAACATAAGTGAAACACATTTAGACATGAATAGCGTATCAAAACAATAGAAACATTTGTTATATATTTAATATAAAAACGAAAATTGTCAGCTATGTATTTATTTAAATTTAGACATACCTTGAAACATGTTAAATTTTTAGTTATTATGAAACTAACATTGTTAGTCATTTACATTGGTCACTAGCTAATTCAAGGTCTAGTATATCAGTCGGCTGATCCCATGGGAACTTAGATGTAAAAATATAGATCCAGTAGACATCACAATTTTTCCTCTTAATGAGTATGATAATGATAACAAGTGAAATTTCAGTTATTAAATAATATAGATAACGTCAAATATCAAAAAATATACATACTACCGACTTACTAAAATCAAAAAATGACAGGAAATGTAAAGCATGTAAACTTCTAACATTTCTAATTCTTTGGGGATATAGGTTTACCCATATAAAATTATTATCTATAAAAATAGTTTTACATAGAAAAAGTTCTAAGCAATACCAAAATGTATTTATGATTTATCCATAATTATCCAAAGTCTGTACCTTGGATAGATCAAAAAAACAACTAAAATCCACAGCATTATATATCTAAGTGTTGAAAGTAAGCAATGCATATCCATAGAACTTTCCATTGTTTCCATAAAGTGCATTTTATTGTTCAGGATGCTATAGGGCGTTGACCTCACCCCATACAACAAATATGCACTACTCTTCAGTATACAAGTAGAGTAACATTACATTTCAAACTTGTTCTTTTGTATTTTTATTGTGACCCATTTAAAAGTACTAAATGATCTTTCCTATAAAGTTTCAGAAATTTATAGTAACTCAACAATGCTTAGAAACTAATAATAGGAATGTGAGACATTTATTATTGTTTTAAAAAAGTATTTAAAAATACCTGTACATCATTCTTATGTGAATCCTCTTCAGAGTCTCTTGTAATATCAAAAACATCGTCCTATAAAAAAAAACAGTAGAGCTTCAATATTATTTTAATATAATGTTGAATATTCCAATACAATTCTCTTAGTGATATTGCCCCAATATTGAATACTGAAGGTATAGAAGGTAATTATCATCATAATCAGCCCCTTTTTACATCCCCGGCCAGAGCACCGGCATTTACATGCAGGTGCTCTGGCCTTCCTTATGGATGGTTAAGGAGAATAGAATGTAGTTAGTGATGCAACAAAAAGATGTGAATATTCATATTTGCTGAATAGTAGTAGCTATTTACAAATATTTGTCATAAATGAAAAACATTATAAATGTCAAAAACAACCTAAAGGGTTTTTGTCTCTAATGCATTCTCTCAATTTCTCTCTAATGCATAATTCTTTTGACAACTTCAATTTAGGATTGTGTCATTTTTTTCTACTATCTATGTATAATTTTTTTTAAATAGAGTACCTCTCTGTCCATTGTGTTAGTGTCATTTGCCACCATGCTATTGTTAGTGGATTCACTAAACTTCAAATCACCAGTGGCACTGTCATCATCCATTTTTGTGGATGGTTCATCAAGATGTTCTGAAGTAACATCATTTGACAATTCACTAATAGGCTCTTGATCAAAATCAGTTTCCATTTTGGGCTTCTCACTCTCTGCAACATCACCATCAGTATCAAAGGCGGTTGGTTTATACACAATGTCGCCTTGCATCGAGTCGCCATCGGAGAGCACGTTACTCAGAGAATCGCTTGGGAAAGTAATCGCATTGTCCCCGACATCGAAAGAATCCGCATTGAAACTGTCCGGCTTGTTATTCAAGTAGTCACCCACGCTACCCGCTGACAACTCGACCGCATTGAGGAAACCTTGATTCGATGCCGACGATTCATCCGCCACCACAGCGTCTACACTATTGAACTCTCCCTCAGTAAGTAGATGAGAAAGTCCATTAGAGTTTTCATTAATCAGCGGTCCTTCGTCCGTTTCCATGGGTCCGTCAGACAAACATTTCTAAAAGTAAATATATAATAATAAAAAAAATCAGTAAAAGTCCAAAATACCATGTAAATCTGGTTGATGGAAATCTTAACCTCTCTAGTACCCACCTGCAAGTCTGAACTGACTTCGTCATCCATATCTCCAGAATTTTTAAATTCAGATAAATTGTTTATTTTACGTTAAATAGATTCATCAATCTACAGCTCGTTTAGTCGCAAATAACTCTTATTTTTTTAATGACGAAACAAACAGCCAGCGAACGACGCTTCCTCTTCACACATTGATAGGGATGCACCCGCACAACAATATACTCTATGTACCTGGGCAATAATAAAAAATATCATACTAAACGATAGAATCGATACTAATATTATTACCGATTCTATCGTTCAGTATGATATTTTGGTTTAGTATGATAGGTACTAAGAAATTATTAAAAAAAACGAAAGCATTAAAAAAGCATTTCTTTTTGTGACTTTAATAAATACTTAACAATTTTTAAAATCTCTTAGTAACAAAGAATTGCCATGCCTTTCAGAGCAGTTTCGTTGCTTCGGGAGCATCGCATCGCAACGTTTGTGTAGTACCGATTCAAACATGTTTCCACACTTAAATGCTGTTTATCTACTTAACATAACGCTGAAAAGCCTGCCTAAAAAATAGAGCAACAACATTATGAACTCACATGTTTTAAGTCTTGAAGATTTACTTTAAAACAGTGATTTTCATGTTATTTTAGTAACAGTGATTTATTGCCTTACTTATTATTTCTGATTATCAAAAATCTTATAATTTTTATGCGTCACACGAAAAATAAGAAGAATTACACAAGTGGTCATTCTTTCATCTTGCATTGCATCGGATATTGTGCTTTATTTGGTATGTTACTTAAAACCTCATTACTTTTCGTGATTGTCTGACTTAATTGAGTGACACTGTCCAAACAGCCTGGAAAAAATACTAGGTCGATTAGTACTTAATGTCTACAAAACACTTAATCTTGCGTTTTGCAACGTGTAGGTATTCATAGCAAAAAAATTATCAACCTTGCGAAGTTGCCATTGCACTGAAAAGTACTACTACCAAAATAAAAATACCTAAGATTTTAAGGTTTATTTGGGCGCGAAACAAGCTCTCCTATTGTTAATTTCCGGCGACAATTCATGTTGAACCTTATTGTCTTATCTCGATGGTCGATACTTTAATTGGCAATGGCGGAAATTGAATCTTATGTCTTTTTAGTAGTCACACGCGCTTATTGGTCGACACGCAGCAACAAGAGGTGATCAAAGAAGCCGTCTGCGCCAGTGGCTCACTGCGGTTTTTTTTATGTAGTTCGCTAGTTCGGTTTCTTACGTGTAAGTGATCAAAAGTGTTATTGCTCGTACGTACTCGCGAATTTCGCTATTTATTTCAGCGATCAGTTGTGTTGTGTGTGACTGTGAGTACATTGAGTCTTGTGTTGTGTGTAGTTAGGTGAAAATCTAAGATGTCATCGCATCAGTTTAGTGCTCGCGAGTATGTAAACATGGTGTACTGCTATGGTATGGCGCATGGAAATGCTTCCCCAAATGCAAATCACTCTCGCGATCCGAGAGTGATCACTCTCGCTATACAGCGCCTTCTAGATTCTAGAGAGCACGACCACGTATTGAAGCTGCGACTGTGCTATCTTGGACGTAGTGGAGGAAAATTCACGCTTGGGCATTCGCACAGTGGCTAGAGTGCTCAGAAGACGACCTGGAAATCGCGCTCGTCACGTTGTTTCTCACTACACCGTGCTTAGGATACTGAAAAGGGATAATCAACGGCCCTACAAAATTCACCGAGTGCAAGTGCTTGTGCCCGGTGACGCCATTCGCCGCGTGGCTTATTGCACGTGGTTACTACGACGAACTCGAAATTTTGTCGGAAACATCATGTTCACCGATAAGAGTACTTTTACCAATAATGGCATGTGGAACCGTCGTAATGCTCACTACTGGTCGTCTCACAACCCGTATCTGACACAAGAAACGGGATTCCAAACCCGGTGGAAACACAATGTGTGGGCGGGCATACTCGGAAACCAAATCGTAGGTTCTGTTTTTTTGCCAGCGAGAATGGATGGACGTGCCTACCTATCACTTTTGACTGGCTTTGCAGAAGATACATTGGCCGAACTGCCACTAGACCAGTGGCGCAATGTTTGGTACCAACACGACGGCGCGCCGCCACACATCGTGAGGCCAGTTCGTGAGCGGTTAACGGAGATGTTCGGTGACCAGTGGATCGGGCGGTACGGACCTTATGCATGGCCAGCACGATCGCCTGACCTTACACCACTCAATTTCTTTTTGTGGGGTTACGTTAAAGATAGGGCTTTCGATCGTGCTTGCGAAACCGCTGATGAAATGCGCCGAAAAATCATCGCAGTATTTGAGGATCTTAAACAGCGGATTGTGCGTAAGGGAATTCTGAAGCGGGTGCATCAGGACATCTCGTACCATGCTCGCATGTGTCTCCATGTGGAAGGTTGCCAATTTGAACCACACCTGGTTTATTTGAAAAGGCCATTGGGTGATGTCGACGAACAATAGGTAAGTGGGTACCTACATAGACGGTTGACAGTGTTATCATGTACTGTCGTTTATACACCTTTGTTTGTGTGAGCGGCCCGCACGCACGTACGTTATGTTCACGACGATTTTCTCAGAGTTGTTGTGCTCGTTACATTGCGTGCCGCAATTTATTATAATTTTTTAACATCAAAAATTTTTACTCGTTTCCCCGTTATAATTTTTTTTTATGTTACTTATTTATAGAATACACAGCTATCGGCTTCGTTATGATTTTTGTTCCACCTTGTATTAAAAAACTGAAATAAGAAAAGTTCGAAACTTAGATATCAATACAAATATGAAAAAGTACAAATAGAATAGGAGTTGTTTATTGAGTTTTGAAAACTAATTTATTTTTAAACTTGAAAGGTAACCGGAAAGGTTGTCATGGAGGAATCAAGAACATACCATAGCGACATCTAGTTTGATTTCGGGAACAATTTTTTTTTTAAATACTTCCTCGTTGTTGAAGACTTATGATATTTTAAGATGTTTTATACTAATTTCATATGTATGTCTTTTTAAAAAGAAGGATAAGACTTAAGAATATCGTTTAATCACTGCAGCCGAAATCAACGGCTTAAAGTGCCTTCCAAAGCACGGAGTAGATAATTTTTTTTGTCACTCATTCAGTGAACAATCCTTACGAAAGTTGCTTAACAACAACGATTGCGGGTCGTGGCGCTTATCCATTATGCCTCCGTGCTACTTTATTTATTTTCGTGTAGGTGTGATAAGTGGGTTTGCTACTTTACTTTAGATATGTTGGTATATCCAAATCTATTAGATCACACACTCGATTTTCCGATACCTTTAATCAAATCAGAGCCTCAATAAGGCAACAACTCTATTTTTACTGTTCCTTGAGTCCATTTCATGGTTTTATGTAATTATTTGTGTTTTATTGATACCATTTTTATAGGAACTTTCAACCACACGATTCGATCTTTTAAGGTGCGACCACGTAGCTCTTTAGCCATCTATTGGATTATATTTCTTACGGTGATTTTTCGTTCCAATTTGCTAATTAAACATGCACATACTTCAGTAACGATAAACGAATGATAAAGAACGATGATTATGTAATTGATAGGAGTGTTACTAACTTAGTAATTTATCTCAAATTTATCCACTAAACAACATGTCAAAGTATTAACATGAAACGAAATATCGCTAAGATGTCATATCCTATAGCTAGGAATTTTCATGTCCGGCGGTCCGATTTTTTCAGGTCCGATATGTCAGGCCATATGTAGGTAATGCGCGCTTGTGCACTGTCAGGAATTTTACCGTCCGGAATTTTACTTTTCTCTATTCCGGACCGGTTTTTTCAGTTCCGTGATGGCAGCAATGAAAAACGTGTTTACGCTTGTGCACTGCTGTGTCCGAGATCCGGAAAATTCATAAGGAATAGGCTTGGGAAAAAATAATCGATTTGAATCGATATTTATTTCGGCAATATAGTTAATTTCCAATAAACTTATAATCGATATTTATTGTTGATTATAAAATGCTATATTTTATATGATGATTCAATATAGTTGGTATATATCACAACTCGGTAAAGTTCTAATTTGATCAGCGTATGGTTCTAGTATCGATACTTAGCTAGATTTTAGAATCGTATTAAAAGTATCGATAGCTTAAGGTAAGATAAATAAGTGTTGTTACGCTTAGATGCCTAAACAACTGAACCCATCTAAATGGAAATTAATATAGTAAATAGACTTAACTCTAAGAAAGGACATAGGCTACATTTTATCGCGAAAAATAGGGGATGAAAGTTTGCCTGGAAATCTGTTATTATCAATTTTTTTTTAGACAATTGATAAGTATAGATAAATATTCGACAACAGAAGTAATAATAAAGAATAAACAGAAGATTTACAAAAGTAATTAAGTGACACTCAATGTCTTTTTCGCATTTAATAAAATTGTTTGTGTCATTAATAAATTTTAAAAAAGAAGTATTCTAAGGGAAAAATATTTCTGCTCAAAGAAACTACACCACGCGTATAAAAATTATGCCTATATATAATACAGTCAACTGATCTCGTAAAGTTCATTTAGCATAATAATTCTCCGCTAACACGTCACTAATTTCGATTTGTTTACGAAATGGCGCCACCGATTGGTCTATCTCTGTAATCGCTGAAAGTTGTTTTTACAAAACTTCGAAAAAAAATAGCACGTTTAAAAATTTAAACATCAAGTACTAGACCATTATCAGTAATTTTATTCTAATGTCACAGATATTTTTAGCTATTGTATGTGAATAATGCTGTTCCTAAATAAGTAAGGGTATAAGTTTTTACATCTGATAGTAGTCATCCGATAGCAGTAAAAAAAATGCATTCGTCTTGCCATAATTTATTATGGTTTATGTAAAACGATCAGATCATTATTTAGGTACCTTTCTACGTCTTCGAACGGAATTACCGACGTTCCAAAAATCTCATCGTACCTAGCGTAAGTGACGTGTAGCTTCAAAGAGAGCTGCACTACACTGCGCCGCTCCGATCAGGAAAAAAACGGAC